AACTAATCAACAAATGCAATCAAAATGTAGCTGTTCCCACGGTTATCATCCCAAAGCCAAGTCGTGTCAATAAACAAGGACAATTCCCTCAGATTGCGAAAAATGCTGCCGTCGAAGCGTTTAAATTCGCCAAAATCTAACGCTGAGAGCACATAATAGCGAGGCGTACGGCGACTGAATGGAAAGAAGTCAAGAAAGGATCCATAGGAAAGACGAGCTCATATAGCCTGCTCACATACTCACATGTTCGCCACATGTCTTATCACATGTCTTAGCATTAAACGGTACTAGTTTACTGGCCGTGACATGCCCCTGCAAAAATCAAGCGGGGTGGCCATTTTGGTGCCCTTACAGGAATGTGTTTTTTTTCGGCCTAGAACCGTGCACAGGAAGAGCAACTCGGAAAAGCCACAGGTAAAAATTAGATTTGCGTCCCACTTCGTCGAACGCAACAAATACTTAGTTTTGTAGTCGACTGGCTCTTAATATCGGCTTTAACTTCAAGACTATCAGATCATTTCCTCTAAACACTCTTCTGAGACGAACTGTATGAAACAGGAAAATAGTAAATGAAAACAATTAGAGCGTGGGCTCTTAAAACTAGTGGCTCTCGAATGGCAGTCAACTGAAAAACGGAGCATTTTATTAAATCAGTTGAATAACACTTTTTCTCTGTACCACACAAATACAAAGAAACCCCAGTTCTATAGATAAGCTACGTTTTTATGCGCATTTGAACATATACGTATGGAATTTGCGCACAACAAATTCATTATTATTATTATTATTATTATTATTATTATTATTATTATTATTATTATTATTATTATCGATATCCCACAAAATTACTGAGTTATCATCACGGCTAGCTAGAATTATATCAGTGGGCTTACTGCTATTTGTTCAAGATAACGTTCTTTTCACGTTGTTCAACAGCGACGCTGTAACTCAAATGTTGATCATGCAGATGGCAAATAGGCCATTCCGAGATTGCGAGGGAAACTGAGGCGAATTTTATTAACCAATCGATAAACTGATGCCTTCACATAAAAGATCACGTTAAAATGTGTCATGTGACCAAGTTTGATGCTTTCAGGGTGAACAGAGACCAAGTTATGAACCTTGAAACATGGTTCAAAATCGTTCCCCTAAAACCAACTAGATAAACTTTGTGATAACTGGTAAAACACGTCATGTAACTACTATTTGAATGAGGCTGAGGAGACAGCAATGTTTTTTGTTTTTTTTGTTTTTTTCATTTGCGAGTGTACCACAGAAAGCGGTAATTGCCACGCCGTTGCACTTGCATTTACGTCATTCAAAAAGGCGGATAAAATTACTGAAAACCTTGAAATTTTGTTTCTGCTATAAAATGTCTTGTAGTCAGATAACAGAAACTATTGCAATTGTTTTGGGATTAACACTTTCTTTTGTAGCCGACTGGCTTTTGAACTTGTGTTTATATTTAAGACTTCAAGTTCAGTTCCTCTAAATACCATACTTCTGAGGCGAACTGAATAAGACAGAAAAATTGTAGAAGAACCCAAATAACTCTCGAATGGCAGGCAGTCAACTGAAACACTGTTGATATCAAATGGATTGAATATCGCTGTTTCTCTGTACCACACAAATACAAAGATATCCAGTTCTCTAGATAAAAAAAAAAAGAGCGTTTTTTTTAGTTGTCAAGCTATAATTCTATCGATATCACACAAAATTATTAAGTTATCATCACGGCCAGTTAGAATTATATCAGTGGGCTTACTGCTAAGACAACTTCCTGACTTTGTTCAATAGTGACGCTGTAACTCAAATTTTGAACATACAGATGGCCAACAGGCGATACCGAGATTGCGGGGGATACTGGGGCGAGTTTGAAATTTTAACCAGTCGATGAGCCGACACCTTCACGAAAAAGAACACGTTAAGACTTGTCATTTGACCAAGTTTGATGCTGTCAGGGTGAACAGAGACCAAGTTATGGACCTTGAAATATGGTTCAAAATCGTTCCACTAAAACCAAATAAACCTTGTGATAAATGTTAAAACACGTCATGTAGCTACTATTTGAAAGAAGCTGAGGCGAGAATCAATTTGTTTCTTCATTTATGAGAGTTCCACAGAAATCATTAAAAAAATGTTAAGAAAAATCTATCGTATCTATATATCATATAGGAAATAAACTGGTTTGTATATATATATTTTTTTTATTCAATCTGCATGATGTTCACTTCAAAACCACTGAGCCGTTTAAAATTCTTTGCCCCCTAGATTTTTCTGCTGTTAATTTCTTTTCAGCCATTGCAAAAACAAAAACATAGAATTTTACATCATACTCCGCTTTGCACTCAAGCGTAATTAAACAGAAGGTTAGACTATTTACTTAACGGTGGGATAAAAACCAAGCCTTGACTTGAAACAAAGCTTCAGGCCAATAGCAGGTTTGTCAAGTGTAAAGCCGCAATTGTCACTCGATTGAATTTGCATTTACGTCATCCAAAATGGCAGTTAAAATTACTGGAAGTGTAAGAATTGTTTTTCTGCTGAATTTCTTGTATAGTCAGATAAGAGATAAAAAGTACTATCGCAGTTATTTCGGAATAAATACTTTGTTTTGTAGTCGACTGGCTCTTAATATTGGCTTTAACTTTAAGACTATCAGATCAGTTTCTGTATACAATCTTCCGAGACGAACTGTATGAAGCAGGAAAATTGTAAATGAAAACAAGCAGAACATAGGCTCCTGAAACTAGTGGCTCTCGAATGGCAGTCAACTGAAAAACGGAACATTTACCACATGGGTTGAATATCGTTGTTTCTCTGTACCACACAATCTTCGTATCGCGGATTATATGTTTGGTTACAAGTATGTTGCAGCACAGGTGGGTAAACTATCGTATCAATCATGGAAGAATTGAAATAAACTGGTTTGGATTTGCACTTTTCATTCCATCTGCATGATGCTCACTTTAAAACCAGTGAGCCGTTTAGATTTTGCCACCTGGAGTTTCCTACTGTTAAACTCTTTTCAGCCATTGCAATACAAAAACATTACATTTTACATCACACATCATTTCGTACAATCAGAAACAATTACTTACAGTTGTTTCAAGTAAACTTTACAAGCTGTTATTGTCCGCTGCTAGATAAGGCCTCTTGAAGTTAGTGTGCGGTGGCCGGAAAACCCAACGTGTAACTCAGACGTGGCTACTGCAATTGTCAAAATTTGCGATAAGAATGACTACTAATAAGCTTAGTCAACCTTAATGGGTTCAAGAAGCAGAAAGGTCTAAACGAAGGAATGACTTATTTCATTAATGAGAGTATCACAAAAATCATAAAAATGTTAAGAGTACAAGTCACTGACACACAGACCTATTTACATGTCTTGCTTGCAGCAAAACAAAAGAAAAATTAATGCTGCGTATCGATGCACTAAGCCGATGAAAATTACAGCGATTGTAAATTTTACAATAACTGTCAAATTTCTCGCGCGCTGATTGGCTCATTTTTATCATCAATAAGAGTACAGACGGATAAAATTTTAAATTAATACAAGCTTTCAAGTTCAACTTTCAGCTTTCAGACTGTCAACTTTTTAACCAATGAGATTTTATGGACTTTTTTAAGTAGCCAATCAAAGAGTGAGAAAAGCTATTGACAATGTTCGCATCATTTTGAATAAAATTCAGTTATCTTTGTTTACGGCAACTTTACGGCGTCTTTTCCCCGCATTTATTCCCGGCATTTGACCATTTTGGGGTCTTGTCATTGTAAAAAGCAAATTGACATCAGTTTTTTTATGCGTCTGTCCTCTTATTGATGATAAATTTCGTCATAACATTGTCAAAGTTTACTGTGGAACCACTCGCCCGCGGCTCGTGGTTCCACAGCCACCTTGACAATGTTATGACGAAATTTATCATCAATAAGAGGACAGACGCATCAATTTGTTAAATAGCATAACTTAAGGGACTAAGTTCAAAGTGATCTTCGTATCGCAAATTATATGCAGTTGAACTCCAGATTCCATCATTAACGCAAACTGATCAAACTCTTGATGTTGAAAAATTATTATTCGTAGTATGTTTGAAATTGTAAGTCCAGTTTATTATTTGTAACCATTTTTAATAGTAACTTAATTAAGTATTTTATTGTAAATAATATCGTATTTTAGCTTTTTATTGTAAATAATATATTTTTAGCATTCTAATTATTTTAAGCTGAGGGCCCCAAGTTTATCAGTAACTTAAGTTACTGTCACGGGTCACCCTCATTAAATAAAGTCTTTCACTTCACTTCACTTCACAAAAATGTTACTTCGATTTCTCAAAATGAGTATACTATTTTCATCTTGCTTTACCAGAGTAATCGTGCACGTACTGATCGCGGTGACAAGCGCCAATTCCGCTAGCGACAGTCAAACACCGTATCCCCCCAAAACTTACGACAAGATGATGGTTTGTAACTTGGCTCAGGATTCCCGCCTTAACGAAGCAACTTACCAAATTGGAAGCGAAACTGGACGTTCTTGTAGTGCTAGTCAGCAAGATTTACACTTCGCAACGAAAGTCAACAGGTAAACTCAGACAATACTTTTTGGACATCTTTTCAAAGTTATGCTTTTAACGTGCGCGTTCAGATCACTAAACAGAGTTTTTTTCTTTTTTTCTTTACTTATACAGCCGTGCCCGTGTCTTCTTGTAAGGAACTTCATGACAAACATAAGTAAGTTAACAAATCAAGGAAAGCGGATAAAATATGATAACAGAAAGCCTCCCACGCAGTTAATCCATTTATGGTTCGCGTACGGAAATTTTCATTCAATTTATTGCCCTTCTTTCTCGATCTTACAGGTCGAAAGAGAGTCAAGTGTTTCAACTGAGGTTTTCTTCGCTGTTTACTGTCACATGGGAAGTTTCGGATGCGGAGATGGAGGATGGACGCTGGTTATGAAAATTGACCGGCACGAAGGTAAATTAACGATCTCTCTGATGATAAATTTGGACTACTGTAAAGCCATTTTACAGTAAAGAGAACCACGTTTTTTTATTTTTTTGATTTCAGAGGACTTTTAATCTCAATTGTTATTTCTGGATTGACAGGAATGCCTATAACATGCAGGCAGAAAAACGGAGTTTGATTTCCAAAAGACCAAGCTACCGACCTACTGGAGCACACCCTTCTCCAAAATCTGTCTTGGCATGAAGATCGGACACCAGATCAAGTTCATCGTTATCAACAAGCATGCCAATTCTCTCTACTCACTGATTGCTGACGGTCAATACCGCACCACCTCACTGGACGGTAACACGTGGAACACGCTGATTAGCTTACAGGCTTCCTTGCAGTACAAGTGTAACAACTAAGGGTTCAAAGCTGTGGGCACTTTTAGTTTTCATTCGAAAGCGAGAATCGGTATCATTAGTAACAACGGAAATGACTGCAGCAGCTGTGATTCCAGAATCGGGTTTGGTACAGGAGGATATCCTGATGACTCCAACACTTGTGGAAACGAGGCAAAACACTTAACAGATAATGGAGACAAAATAATTAAAGCCATGGGCTACATTCTGGTGCACGGAAAGCTAGAACTGCCACTAATCTGCACCAGTGTAGACATAATAGATAGTATCGATCTTTGTCAGTGATAGAAGGTTCCCACGTCTGGGTTGTCGTATTAGAATTATTGATCACGTAGAAATGAGATGTGAAGAAATGTCTTATGCCAGATTAGCAAAGCTCAGTTTGCTTGAAATACTTGGTGTACCAGATCTAGATTAGATTAGCGACTGCTCGAGGTTTTGAAACCCACAAAGTTTCTCACTGCAACAAACAAAACACTCTGCCACCCCTCCCACCCAACAGATTTTTTTACCACCCAGATTCTGGGTGGTCACGTGACTAGCCGCAACCAGGGTCTTTATTCCAACGATCAAGAGAGGCAGAGAAGAGAGAGCCTGGGAACGATGTTGAAGGTGCGCCTACTTTCGTCATCATTCAAACTTTTGACGCACTTTTGACGTGTTTTTACCAGAAATATCACTAAAAATCCATCACTACAGTGTTGTGGCAAGAAGCACAGTACTGTTTTTATTAACGTTCAGGTAACAGTCTAGCTCGACACGAGCCAAAGAGAATCTAACCGTTGATCATGAGCGAAAGGTGATAGACCCTGCGTGCTGAATAACCCCCACCTCAACCCCCAATGGGCTATGTAAACTAACGAATTTTGAAGGTAGTTAAACTTCTACATTCCTGTGTGTTATCCATGATTCCAAGTTTTCTCATTTTGTTAATTTCTACATGGTAAGCTATCTACAGCTATAAGCTGCATAAAAGCCATCATCATTGAATGTCTGTCACTTGACAGACACCCTAAATCAACTGCAGTCCTTTGCAGCCGGGGGAGTTCATTATAATTTAATTAACAGTAAAGAAAATTGAACAGTGCAGGGCCTGTTTCAATTTATCTTTGCTTAAAGAGTAAATCGTTTATATATTAAGATATTACCTCCAATTAAATTGTGTGGAAATCAAACTCTGTAGTCTTGATTTATTGGCAAGAGATAAAGAGAGAGTTTACCAAGGGTATTTCATTTTCGTAGAGTTTGCTTCTCAGTAGACTCTTAACGAAAACTTTCCTAATTTACTCTGCAAAGGCAAGACGGTGATGAATAGCAACAAGTAGACCAATTTAAAATGGTTACGTTGGGGAGTGGTATACGATACTAATTAAAAACGATATCTATTTCCCAGATTTCTCCAAGTGGACATTTTTTTTTCAGTTAAATTTATTTAAGACTTTCCATATTTTAACGCCCAGACTCGCTGTGAGAGTTTTCCTTGTCAGAATGGCGGAACCTGTCGGCCGTTGTACGAAACAGATTTGCATTTGTAGACGATTCTGGATCGGCAAAAATTGCAGTGAATTGAGTACGTTTCCGATTATATTTCACTACCATCTCTTAGTTATCTGACGTCTCAAAATGCCAAACGTTGGCTTTCATAGGGACCTCCTGTGGTTAATTCATTAAAATTTTTACGTAGTTGTTTTGTTTCCCGGGCATAAGTCAACAATTATTTTTCTAAAAAAAACCTGAACCGGGTGCTCCACCTTCTAGGGAACACGCATTCACAAGGATGCCTATACTTATTCCATAACCGAGTCTATGATGCGAGGACGAGTAACGTACCAATTCTATTTTTGTTTACAGCTGGCGTCGAGAGCAGCTGTAAAGCGACAGCGACAGCGACCACTACCCATACTTTTTCAGCCTTTGTAACCTGGTTTGATGGGATTCGAAATTCCTTTTTCCCAAAAGAAACCAATCATTAGAACACGACAGCGAAAAAAGAGGGGCTGCTTGTTATCTGAGCGAAAGAAAGTTTCCGCATAATTAAAAGCTAAGAGTAGCGTGTTGTAATCGATAAGATTCTTAATTAAAACTCTGCACAAGATGATTGAGCAGGTGTCACCACTGATATTTAATCAAACATTTTCTCTGATGTTTAGTCAACGCTTTCTATATGTATTGAATAACTTGCTATGACGGCCATTAGAATCACGCTCACTACCTAAACAATATTCAGAGCATGTAAAACCAACTAGTCTGTTTATACCGCAATTTTAAACTCTGAATACGAAAGTTCTCTTTTCTTCTCTTTTCCTGCATGGCTTGAAGGTCAAATGCAATCAGTCGACAGCCCCAGGGAAGTCTCCTACCTATTCAGGGGTGGTGAATGCTAAATGCAAGAAATTGGGTGAAGGCGAGACTAGCGTTTTTCTTTGCGAGCCAGAAGCGTTTTGGCTTTTTTAACTTCCAGCTCGAGACGTTCAGACTATAAGACACAAAAAAACAAACCGGTACCTCGAGACCCTTTGACACCTTCTTAGCTATGCACAAATTCGAGACTCCGAGACAGCTTTGCGAAAAAAATCGAGACGGCGAGACGCACACAAATGCTTAAAAAAACGACACTGCGAGACCCATGGTTTTTGAGGGACAATTCGCCACCCGCCTATATCTCGGATATTTTTATCCCTTGAACATTATTTGCTCCTCAAAGCCCACAGTTTTTCTCGAGCTTCGCTCTCAGAAAACTGTTTGCTTCTCGGAACAGATAATGTCCTCGTACAAATATCCGAGTATATTTCCGCGTCAAATGGAGACACGTTTTTATATGTCAGTAGCATGCTGTCGTGTTTTGATGGGAAAAAAGCATTTGTTTACGATATGAGTAATGAGAAATTGAATAACGGCAACAAATGCTTTAAGTATCTGTTTTTTACTCGATATCAATTTCAAACAGCTTTGCAAAAAAATGTATTTATTTTCTCTGCCACTACTGCACCCGAATAAATATAAATTCAGTTGATGAACCTAAAAATTATGTTGTGAGTCTTTATTTTATTTTATTTTATTTTATGGAACTTTCATGAATCAGTACCTGTAAGAGAACACAGTAGACTTGAATCTGTGCGGCTTTTAACAGAGAACACCAGGTTTAAACAATGTAACTTTTCGAAACGTTTGTTTGCAATCTAAATAAGAATATTCTAGTAACTGACGATAGTGATTCATCGCCTTTAAAGTAACTTTTTTCGTTTGATTTTCTTAGTTTGCAATTTCTTATTTAGTTTGCAATTTCTTATTTTTATGTATTTAGTTTTTTCTTATTTAGTTTTCTTAGTTTGCAATTTCTTATCCACGACCAGATGGAAACCTAGTGGAACCTAGTAGCGAGTTTCTATCTGCAGACAGATACAGCGCACCAGAAAAGTTCAGAACCAAATACTCTTTCCATCACTACAGTGTTGTGGTAAGAAGCACAGTACTGTTTTTATTAACGTTCAGGTAACAGCCTAGTTCGACACGAGCCAAAGAGAATCTAACCGTTGATTATGAGCGAAAGGTGATAGACCCTGTGTGCTGAATAACCCCCACCTCAACCGCCAATGGGCTATGTAAACGAACGAATTTTGAAAGTAGTTAAACTTCTACATTCCTGTGTATTATCCATGAGTCCAGGTTCATTCATTTTGTTAATTTCTACATGGTAAGCTATCTATAGCTATAAGCTGCATAGAAGCCATCATCACTGAATCTATGTCATTTGACAGACACCCTAAGTCAACTGCAGTCCTTTGCAGCCGCGGGGAATTCATTATAATTTAATTAACAGTACGTAAAGAGAATTGATCGGTGCAGGGTCTGTTTCAATTTTTCTTTGCTTAGAGAATAAATCGCTTATATATTAAGATGGCGTCAAGCGTCTGCAAGACAATAATTCATCCACCCTCCAGTATATTTGATTTTTCTCAGTACAACTATCCTATTGTCAAGGCTTAAATGGCATCTGTCCTAAGACATATTAGTCATCTTAGTCTTCTCTTTCATTATTTTATTTATTAAACGACATGGATAATTGATCGTTTTCAGAGGTTGTAATGTCGATTTGTTCATCGCCCGAATATTGCTTTTTTCGCATTGTCGAAGAGTACAGCAACTTGTCTTTTCAAAGTTCCCGTCGATGTTGTGGAATAAGTGACCCATATCCGGCTTTTTAGACGCTTAGAAAAATGAAATGCTATTTGCTAATAGCATTACTGTCACTGGGCGTGTTTACCTTTCACGAAGACCTAGCATTTGCAGAGCAAGGTACGTGGAATGGTTGTGTTTTATGTTTATTTCGCAAAATAGTCTTTAACTTAAGGTTCTCCCACTGCATAATCCATCGCACATCGCGAATATTTTCCTAGTAATCCTAACTAGCCAATTTTGCGAGGTAACCACAAATTCTAACCTCACAAAAGCTGTTGCTCGCTCGATGCGATTGGAGAAAGGGATATTCAAGTTGATCGTTAATTATTCCTGTTTGCGAAGGGGCCGAACCAAAGGCTAGAC